CTCAGTTCAAAAAAAAAACATGAAGCACATGACTGGGAGGACCCAACAGTTTCGGCTACCAGCCTGACAGCACTCCTCAGGGGTCTTTTCTGTCGCGGAGGTACTGCTCATTAACAAGTACCTCGTTTATATACCGTGCACACCGAAGACACTCATGCCAACAAGAATAGATGGGACACCGAAATAATCATCTGACCGGATCCTAAAAACAACAGCGGAGATCTTAACGAAACGGATTCGAACACATGGTCATGAAACTGTGAAAAAACAAGGTACTAAACTACATTTGTGCAATAGGTCTTGGGACTGAAACTGTCCGGCCCTACAAAGTAAATCTTCATCACCAGATTTGAACTCAGAATCATGGGACTAAAAAATCATAGTAAATCTTCAACACCAGATTTAAACTCAGAATCATGGGACTAAAAAATCATAATACCCAAGTCCTCAGGACAAGAACGTTTCAGGCCTTCGAACCACGCGTCCCAGAAATATACTGGAGTCAGACCGGCATCTCACAAAACTGCATAGCATCCCAGAGAAAATCCACAGTAAAAAGTGACCTCCGCAATCAAACAAATCGGTACGAAACCAATTCCACGGGAACCAGAGACTACATCATAAAGGGTCCCGCAGGCGCGGGCTAGTAGCCCGTAATGTGACCGTGAGGCCTGCAGCAGTGAAAAAGCAGAGGAGTGAGAAACGGAGGCAGCAGTTCCCCAGCGGGCAATCTGTGGTATAAAGAGGAGATTAGCTTAGCCCTGGACAAAAGAAAAGGGATAATTGGTAGAAAGAGACCATGCCTAAACCTATTTGGTTTTGGCCGCCAAAAACTCGGCCGTTTGGTACTACCGGACCAATGACTTCCATATGCGGTACTACAGGCCCACTCGTCCCTCCAAGGGTACTACCGGATCATGAATCTGGAGCATAACAGCGTCAGATTTATTTTGATGTAACGTATGGTATCTAAAAAAAAAAAGGGTCCTACCCGTTCATGAATCTGGCGCAAAAATAGCGTCAAATTCTTGAACCGGTAAAAACAGGTCCAGGGAGATGTGGCCACGGTGCGAAGGCACCTTTCACCTAGGCTGAAGACGTTTGGGCCGGCAGTACCAAACGGTCGAAATTCGAGCGCCCAAAACCGAAAAGGTTTTCGCGTGGGCTCTTTCTACCAATTATCCCCAAAAAAAGTCCCATGCTAGTATATAGGCAGCGGACACGAACCCTGTGTGCACTAGTAGCTCGCTCATACATAGGCAGGGGACGTGACCTGAGACGATGTCGTGGCTGTAGCAGGGCGGAGGTGTTACCCCCCCCCCCCCTCCTGCAACCCCCCTTCCCCTCAAGTGGCCAGTTTTGGTTATATTCATCCGTGTGTTTGGCGGTGATGAATGTGGGTGAGGGGAGGTGTTATGAGAGGATGTAGTTGTTGCTCCTCTGGCACCCATCCCCTCGCCTCGACTTCCCGGTTTTTGTTATGCTCAACTTTGTCTTCGACAGTCATGAATGTGGCGGTCAACATGTTATTCTTTAAAACTGGACATTATATTTGTCATGTTTTGAACGAATCCACTTTCGGCTTCAGTTGAATCAATATACCCATGCCCATTATCTCCCCTCAGACATGTTGTTGGATGTTTGTCGGGATCCGGACTTTATTTCGAGGTGCAATTTCAGGCTTGCCCATCCACTCACCCCAGCTGTTGAAGTCAGGATCCAGGCAAACATCTAATGCCCTCGTTCTAAGGCGTAATCAACGTAGGCATACCCATCCTTTCCGTCGAGACATTCTTTTGGATGTTTAATGAGATGTGGAGTTATTTAAAAGTGTACTCGTAGACAGGCCTACGCACTTTTGTGTTGACATCCATATTTGTTGAACCTGAAGTTTATGACATCCATACTTGCTGAACCCGATTCAGAACTAAATGTTATTGGAGAATTGTGCACACCGTCAGCACACGTCCCCAGTATCATGCACTTCAAGTTTATTTCATTCAATTCGCGTATTGTGCAAACGGTCTATCTTGCATGCGAAACTCGGATAGCAGGGAAGTGTGTCGACATCCATACTTGTTGAACATAGAGTTTATGACGGCAGGGAATTGTGCTTACATCCACACTCAATGGGTGGCGTGTGGCAATCGGCCTCCAGTTTATGCTTGATTGGCCACGACAAGCGGGAGCCTGCCACCAGGCACCACTGTCGTGCAGGCCACGCCGTGGTTAAACCCGCACATCCAGGTGTTTCCAGTCTCGTCGAGTCCTCATTTTATTAGATTGTCGGAATATCGCAGTCCCTGGTGGCAATGCCCGAGCAGGACAGGAGATGACTCTCACGTCTCTAGCCAGTGGAATTGACCCTTCCAACCCTGGCACCCATAAGAGCAGCGCAGTGCTGTCAAGGGTGGCACATAGTGTGCCTGCCCTGAATGAGGTCGGGCAGATTAAGCCTGCTGGACTTAACGTCAGACAGTGCTCTTATCGGTGCTACATAGCGCGCAGCGTCATGCCCACCATCATGCGTGCGAGGAACCCGGACGTCATTGAGGGATGGCAAAACACGCGAGAACACAAACGCCTTCATTTAGGAAATTTGCATACCGGCATCACAAGACAGAGGCAGCATGTCCATGTAGCAATCGACCCACCATTATGCCTAGTGTGTATCATTAAAGGACGACAAGACATGCGAGAACACAAACGCCCTCATTCAACGAATTTGCACACCGACATGACAAGACAGGGGCAGCAAGTCCATTTCAAGGTTGACTTTCAGACAATAAAACGCACAGAAAGAGAATCGCACAAGGCATCGGCATCTATACTTCGGATGCCGGCGGACTACCGCCTCCTTGCTCCCCCGAGAACACAAAACCAAAGCTCCAGGATGGCGTTGAACACAACATGCCGCAAAAGGGGATCGAGGAGACATTCTGAAATTTTGAGCGTGGAAGGTAGAAAAGGTTGATTTCACAGCAGCGGAATGATGCAGACCAAACTTAGAGTCCACAACAAGAAGATCACTGCTTTTCAAAACAATATTTGAAAAAAAGAACGAAATGTCATGTCATGCACAAGATGCCTCATCCAAAAACAACAACGTCTGTCATGTATTCGAAAATCACAAGACGTTACCAGCTAAGACAACAACCTTCCAGAACACAGCGTGCCAGTTGTCGTCTAATACGCGGGATTTCACGAGGAGTGAACGGAAAAGGCGGCCTATCACCACGTTGGAGCAGCGTGGCAAACATCAACATGAACACCCCGCAACTCGCACCGTCTGCTTGTCTAGGAACTCCTTCCACGACAACATTCCCGGCCATCGACCTCCAACTCCCTTTGGATCTACCCAGTGGCGCCCGGACTTCCAAGTACTTCACAATTAAATCAAAAACGCCGTTGTAGAAATCCTTTTCGGCGTTCACACATGCAAATGAGTCGAAAATCTCCAGGACACCGTCCCTCAAGTTCACAGACAGAAGGACCCAGTGGTCATTGTCTTTGTGCACTGGCACGAAGACAATATCGTGTTGTAGGAGATCGATGTCCCGTGCCCACCTTCTCACCCCGATGTTCCCTTGCCGTTTCAACTTGTTGAAGAAAAATGTGTTGAAACTGAAGACACGAAGCCCGGTGGACAGCTGAGGGCGCCGACACGTTGTAGACCCCAGGAGAGCCTCATTAAGCTTGCCATCAATATCCCAAAGGGCGCGGAGATCGCTCGCTGCAACTCTCAGTTGTCCGTCTGCAAGTGTATCCAGGACAGCCTCAGGCGGCACGGTCCCGTGCAGAAGGTCATGCAGAACCTGCAAGCTTGGACGCGCAGCCATGGTGACGAATTTTCCCCACCGTGTTAGAGGCCCTTCCATTCTCATTGCACAACACCAAGCAATGCACACGAGGGGCGGTGGGAAACCTTGGACTACGAGCTGTTTTCTGCAGCATGATGCGTTGCCAAAAACTTCTCATACATATTCTGCCCCCTACTCACAGATCTCGGGTACGACCCCTTGTCAGGAGGAAGCAAAGAAAGACACTCGTCAATGGCCTCGCCATGTGCCTTCCTGCCGATCTCAACATCAATCCCCGATGCCTTCAACATATCTTTATTTCTTGACGAGAGTCGAGGGGATTTCCGCAACAAGTGTGCATAATATCTCGAGTTCCTTCTTTTGCCAGACGCCCCCATCCCTGTAAAACAAAAGAGAAAGAAAAAGAAAACTGAATACATGTCCCTACCACCGAATTGCCACCGTCACAAAAAACACACCAGGAAAGCAACCGGACGCGGAATCGGAGGAAAGGGCTCCGGCCGACCGGGTTGCAGGTACGCGATTATGAATGTCAGGCATGCAGGTCGACCGTACTCATGGACTCGAAGCGTATGAGGCAGAAGAAGCAAGCAGATCAGGGTTGTTGGCATGAGTTTGCGATGATGTCCATTCCACACGTCAGCGAAGAAAGGCAGAGGACACGTAGACGTCGGGGCCATCCTGGCACACGACAGGAACAGGACGATAAAAAAAACAACGCGAAGGACAACGAGGAGGCTGCAGCCACTGCGGAGGCAATCACCCAAGGGTTGGAGACAACAACGCGGGAAGGGGAGAAGCACACAACAGGATAGGCGACGAAGTGCGGATCCCGGCGGACTTCCACATATCGCACAAGGATACCTACGTCCGACCGCCTCGCTAGTGGACGAGTGGAAAGCGCAACACAAAAGTCTCCAACCCACACGGTTTGACCAGCCGTTCCATCCCTATTCCTTAACCCCAGCCCGGTCTCGCGAAGAGTGCAGAAACGACATCAAATGCCCGACAGCATCCGCAAATCAGGGACGATAGTGGCGTCAGTTTCGTCAAATGTGAGAAGACGACGGAAACCTGAATGTTGCATCCATGAGCAGAACAGCGCGACAAGAAGTGAACGGATCAGCGCTTACCAGCCTGCTTAACGTCTCCAGATAATGACGCTGACTACCTTGCAGGACTTATGAGCACTTGCGCAGCCGCAGGGTCGTCCCCACAGTTGACCTCGCGGTCGAAGTGTCAGCCGCCCCCGAAATCGTTCTTTCTGCCGCCGATGAGTTTGTCGGACGCTAGAGGCCCTGGACCCGACAGCTCCATGGAACCAATCGTCGGTTGACTGGAACCTGCATTGCCCTCGCCGTTCTCCAATGCAAGCGGAGGAGGGGACCTATTCTGCGGACCGAGGATGCCATGCACGACCTCGTCAACGAGCAGCCGACCTGCAGGTTTCACAGGACTCAGCGGCAGTTCAATGTCATGGCTCTCCACTGCGGTTTCGACAACACCCCGCAAAGGGGAAACATTGTAATCTTCGCCCTCCTCGGAAAGTTGGATAGCGAGCTCCGTCTCGATGGCCATTGCAGGCGTCCCGCACTCAGCATCCTCGTCGTTGCGCCCACCGTACAACCAGACGAACTCGTCGGCCGACTCTCCGGAGCCTGCGTCTGTGAAATCGTCGTTGTCACCACAACTTTCCACCCGGTCCTCCGTGCCCTCCACCTCACTGCTCAAATTGCCTTCCGCACCGCTTCCGTCATCAAGCCTTTTAGTGACCCCCATCTCCTTGTCGTCTCTACCATCCCCCCCCCCGACCCTCTCCGACCCCTTGTCTGCTTTCTCAACACACGACAAACCCATCTTACATGCCTTGTCCAAGTCCCTCTGCCCCGGCCCCTCGACGACGGACTCCCCTGCCGGCGCAGCATTGGCTTCACCAGCGGAGCCGCTCGTCGAAGTCCGGATGCCAGCGGACTTCAAAGATGTGAGGGCTTCCTCGCCCCGCCTTCCAGCCTCCGACACGGTCTGTGATCCGTCCTCTGTCGCTAATTGCTTTTCCGTTGCACTGTAAATCCCGTCAAACTTGCTGTCCTCCACAACATCGACCTCCGAGCGACAACGGTCGTGGCCGCGTCGCGCCATATCGTAAAGCTGGGCTGTCGGAGATAGGGAGGCTGGTTCTTCCGAGACTGTAGTTCGGATCCCGACGAACTTCTCGGTGGCCTTGTCCCCTCCGCCCGCGGGTTCTGCAGTGCACGTCCCCTGTTCCCCTGGTTCGACACCTCCCGCATCGAAGACGACAATGTCGGTCGGGCGATGCACCTCTTGCGTCGTGTCCTTCCCAGTGGCCTCGTCCCCTCCGCCCGTCCCTCCGTCCCTGCCTCCATGCCCCCTTCCCCCGTCCGCCCTCCCGTCCCC